ATGATTACGACCTGACTAACCAGTCGGTTGGCTCGTCTACTTTGGCAATCACACCCCCTCCCACTAATTTACTCAATTCAGCCTAGAACCGCAAATGGAACTTTCTTACCCGGTAGCGCAGTCGGTCGTATCAAAGGATTCAACGACAAGTCAACGGTTCCCACAAATGTTCCCAAACCGCGGCTAAACACAGACGGACACTGATAACTAATATCGCTTTCTCCACCGCAAGCAAGCATGCATGAATGGGTCATGATTTTTAAAAAAACGAAACCGAGAGACTGGATCGAATCAATGCCGAGAAGCGGTGGGAGCCCCTACTCCTCCAATACAAACGTCAATCGATGTGATTACTGGTTGGAAGCAGTAAGTAGAGTTTGCACCGTGTAGCTGCATCTAATGTCACTCAGGGACAAAGACCTGTTATGTTGTGTTGCGCTCAATATGTTTTGCGTCGACAAAGTGTCTGTCCAGGAAGTTCTTAAATTCCGACACCGACTTTGCTTCAACTACGTGCTTCGTCAGGCCGTTCCATACATTCACCACTCTGAGTTCGAAACTGAGTTGGTGAGCGACCCGCTTCAAATACGGTACGACAAGTTTGTACCGGTGTCCTCATGTGCTGCTTGGTGTGCGCAGATGAAGCAGCGGTCTCAACATGGGATAATCTCCCAGACGTAACATCCGGTGCGTCATGATGAGGTCAACCCTCAGTCGACAATAAGCTAGGGTGTACAGCCTTAGTTTCTTACACCGGTCTTCGTACGGCACACCTCGTAAGTTGAGAATCAGCCTGGTGGCTACATGCTGCACTCGCTCAATCTTTTCTTCCTCGCCCCCGGGTGATAGGACAATACGCGGGAGAGCCATACTCTAGCATTGGTCGTATTATAGGGACGAAATGTTGAAGCTGCGCCTGGGCGCTCAAAGCATACGAAGTCCTATTCGTGTTGTTCATGGACTTTAGGTCGCAGCGTGAGAGTACACCAAGGTCGCGCACGAAAGGCGCGGGATGCGACGGTTGACAAGCCACCGTGTAGGTTCGACTGTGCTCAAACTTACCCATTCTCATGTGTTGCGACTTGACCGGGTTGATCGGAAGGTTGACCTCTGCATACCATGTGGAGAGGCGGTCGAGGTCCTGCTGAAGCAGGTCACGATTATTGGGTCTGCGTATTACTATCCATACCTTTAAGTCATCTGCGAAAAGCGCACAAGGTGATTGGAGTAGCTGAGGCACATCGCTTACATGGATGAGAAACAAAATCGGCCCCAGTACAGTGCCTTGGGTCACGCCACTGCTCGATGGCTACCAGTCGGTCAAATGGTTGTCCACCTGGACTCTCTACTTTCGATCAACAAGGAAATTCTTGATTCATTGATGCAGTGAGCCGCCAACACCGCACACCGTCAGTCTGTCGAGAAGCACTGCATGATTTACCTTGTCAAAAGCCGTACTGAAGTCAATGCAAATGACGTCGACCGACTTGCTTTACTTCAGCGCTTGTAACCATTCGTGCCTCGTCAACTGTAGGTTGGTGATGCACGAGCGACCTTTCAAGAAACCATGCTATGCGGGCGTTAAGAGACTTTTCGACTCGAGAAGCTGCAGAAGGCTCTTCTTCACGATCTTCTCGAGAGTCTTTGCCAAAACTGCGGTCAGGCAGATCGGCCGGTAGTTATCCACTTTGCTTGGGTTACCACCTTTCGGTATTGACTTTACGACAGAGCATTTCCAGTCGCCCGGTAATATTCCAGTGGATAGTGACCTGTTGAACAGCTCCGTATCTTGGTTTAAACACTTCAATTGTGACTGAGCCCTTCGGATGAAGTCTGGAACCATTCCACATGCGCAGGTAATCTTGATCGGATGGGATGCACAACCCGGGAGAGTGCTTCCTTGGTAGAATGTTGACAGTTGCATTCGTGTCTAACTGGAACCGTACGGTTTTGTCTTCGGTCAAAAGACTTGCGTAGACACATTTTTGTGATACCCTCCGAGACACATTGCCAACTGAACGGTCTACGTCTGTGGATGACTTGTCGCAAACGAGCGCACTCACATTGTTTCATTGGCAGCAGCGAGCGAAATGGATACTTTTTCCACATTTGGCGCACTTCCGTCCTCACGGTGGACAGTGTTCGCTGGTGCTCGGGTGTAGCACAGCGCAAAATTTGCACATCTCCTCACGTTGGTAGTTTGTCACCGGAAGCGGCACATAAATTTGCGTCAGTTGCCAGTTTCATTTGTTAATACTGATAGGTGGTCGATAACTCCCTGTTGCAGATATCGATGCACTGCTGAAGTGGTAAGTTGTGTAGTCACAGAACCCGCTTCGTCGTGCTTTCACCATTGATTCCTAGAACATTCCGATCGCGTACGAAACTGTCGCCCATGGAGGTACAGAAATTACAGGATCGGGCCAAGTGCTTTCCGAGACGTCCTATTTGTTTCACTTGCAGTACATTCTCATCTACGCCGAGCAGTCTATCACTCAGATTCGGCAAAAGCTCGACCTTGTGTTCACAGCGCGCTTGAGGACTGGAATCACAGGATTCAGGTGCGTGAAAGATCATGACGCTGCGGCATCTCATGGCATTGGATATTGTTCGCGGCTTCTTTGGTCTTTGTGTTTTCCATACGTCAGCACCACTTTGCTTACTGCACACCGGAACTTTAGTGTCATTCGAAGAAAACACAAGCGGTGAAGCCGAACTTACCGGAGTGCCATGCCAGCACTTGACTCCGGGGATAGAGTAGCAGGCGTACTGTGTGGTTGGTTGATTGATTATGGTGCAGTTTACCCAAGTGATCTGCTTGTTTGGCTTTTCGGCTCCATTCGGCGCAAACTTAGATTGACATTATTTACAAATAGCTTTTAGAAATTCGTGCTGGACCTCTCGAATAATGCGAAAGTGGTAAAAGGGTAAACCGATGCATGAAATATAGAACTTTACACTGCATAAGCTGCATATAATCGTGTTTGCGCGAGGACCGACAGTTTTAGAACAGCTATCAAAGGGAATTTGATTTGCCATTTCAAAAATAAGTACCGGTCGGTGAGACTGAATCAAGAAAATAGAGAATCGTAAACCTAGAGCCAACTAGCACACGTACTTTTAATAATGTAGTTCAGAAAGACTAATGTCATCGAATTACACAAAAACATAGAGAAAAACGACTTTAACGATGTAAGGAACGAGGTAAACTGGCCTGATCGGGATAGCAGAAAAACGCGACCCAAACAGATATACTTGAGGCTTTTCTTAACAAAGAAAACTACTTCACGAGAAAGTCGCGGGGCAGCTATAAGGACGCAGACAGAGTTTCCCACAATCCGATCTAGCTGAACAGTTACAAATAATTTGGACAGTACTGCTTGTTTCTTTAGGTTAAGTGAAGAATTGGCTAGTTCGCACCAAACCACTAACAACACAGTAAGCTGACTACCGACGCTATCCCTCATCTAGAGATTAAAAGCAGAAGGGGAACAGACCTTCCAACCTATAACCAGTGGCTGTGACGGATTGCGGACATGGTTTTATTATCACACCGATACAAGTGGATGCAGCCGGGTCCACTGCACGTCGATGATAGGATAGGATCATGATCGATTAACTGGCTGGCTAAAAATTCCACGTGGTCCACTGTTGTTTTGGAGCATCTGCTACGTGTTTAGAATGTGACATGCAACCTGATTTAGGACCACGGTGTGCTTAAAAACAAATCTCGGTCATTCCGATTAATGAAATGGAATTTCGGTGTTGGAGGCAAGTGACACTGAAAGCTCCAATTTATATGATTGTTGATTGGATCCGGAAAGTATGTAAAAGCAGATGATATGCAAGGCTACATTCTACGACGACAAGCAATAAGCCATAAAATGGCAATTCAAAATGCTGGTTAAACACCAAGTAACCATGAGTAGCACACATGACTAACAGATTTCAGAACTACAAAAGTGGTATGTATCGCATAGGATAGGCCACAATAATTAATGTCGCAATGGCAAAGCGCCATTATATTCGAACGCCTAACAAAGGGCCGGAAATGAAACGGAAGAATAATGCAGACCTTTATGGCAGTCAGGCAGTACAAGCTGATGTCCCGTCAGAGCATTGTTCGGCTCGAACAACTCACATGAGTGGCCTTGTTAAAGAAAGCTTGCAGTGGCTTGTTAGCTGACAACCACATACCAATCAGTGGTGCTGACATGCGTCACCAAACTTCGTGTCTAGGTGGTTAAAAATATTACCGTTCGCGCGCGAAATGGGAGCTGACGCTGCATTCAGACTGCTATATAGCGAGTGCCAAGTGATGCTAAGTGATGGTTTGACTAATCGTGTTGTAATAAGACTACGCCGACGTGGTGGATCATGATTAGACGACAGTTTAACTCGATAACAGTCTCGTAAAAAGCGGCGATGAATGCTTAGGTTAACAGTATGTTTTGTGCCGCCGCTCAGGAAGGTTGTACACGCTTTATTCATACGGTAGCGTACAAGCTGCAGGTATATCGGTGAGATGGTCTAAATTGTGTCGTTAAACGAGAAAGAAAGCTCTAAAGCCGTCCGGCACATTTATGATACCTAACTAGACAGAATTATTCAACAAAAGAGAAACTATGGTGGACACAACACCGGTACATGATGTCGTTAAAGTAGCGAAGAAAGCGAGCCATCTGAATAGTGTTGAGTCACGTTTATTACATAAAAAACAGCTTAGAGAATAGTAGTGTTTTCTGTGGGAACAGCTCATGAAGTGACGATAAAACCTGCAGAAAAAGAAGTACCGGGTGAGACAATGTGGGGTAAAAATGATATGATGTGAGCGTGAATTCTCGAAGACACGCAGATATAACCTATCGTGTAGCAAATGTGCTCCAATAAAGATCAACATAATCTTCAATGGGTACATTATGATCCACGTAAGCGTTAAACTGAGGAAAAAACAGACGAGGTGGCGCCAAGATTATGGAACCCGGGTTCCTACACCATACCTGATAGATCGGCGGTCGTAGTGGATAGCAGACAAACCTGAGCAACGTAATCCAGAAGCGTGAAGCCGCATTCACTACCGATGGCCAATCTGTTGGGTGGAAAGAGAAAACATGAAAAGTTCCGGGCATACGTGACAACTGAACTGCATCTTACTAGTATCATAGTAAGGAACCAGTGGAAAATGAGCCAGAGAATGTCCTAAAGATTAGGGGGAAGAACAATGTAGGCAAATGGAGACACAATAATGTCAGAGCGATCAAGCGAATGTTTAAGAAGGACCTAAGTAATCGAATGGTTCTGTTCAGAAGATGTTAGACATAAGCGCTGTCGTAACATTTCCTGCTGCACGTCTGTGAATGGCTTGATAGGAACAAGTTGATAAAAAGCAAGCAGTGCACTGCAATCTTCCCGATCGACAAAAACAAGCTACCTACATCATAAAAAGAAGAAAGGATGAATAAATGGATCCGACTGGCCAGGGAAATGAGTAGTCAGTACACAGCGAAGAGATAGCGGATGAGAATAGATGCAGACAAATAGAAGTGGATTAAGGAAAACTAAGTGTGAGAACTACTGCGATCATAATGAAGCCGACGGAAAGAAGACGCCGATGCGAAATTAGTAGATTCCTTTATCAGTAACTAGAATTGGCAAAATACGAACACCAGAATCCAGTGTCCGTTGGACATGATACCAACCAGAGAATATGTGACCACGACCTGGACAAACAAAGCTTCAGCGTCCAGCCTATCGCAAACTATAGTGAAAAAGGCAAAAACGAACAAATGTACGATGACGTCCTAAAAGCCCGAATTGTTGATCTCGTAAAGCAATCCGGTTATTTTTGCTTCCCGAGTATAAAAGAACCCCAAAAGGAATTAGATGGAGCAGAAGCAAGTACGATTCGAGAAGTGACCGTACAGTGAGGTCGAACGCAGTGAGGAACACCGAGCTCATCCAAGGTGTAGAAGAATGCCGAATGATGAAGTTTGTGTAATCAGGACCTCAATCTTGATTATGTGACTCCATAGTTGATTCCGTTCAACGTTCACATTTATTCGGCTAACATGCGGTTAGAGGATTCGCATCGCTACACTGAGTTTTATTCATCAACACATATACCTCGTTTCTACTTCATTATCACCAGCAGTACACGTTAGCCGAGGTAAAGAAGCATATCTCAGCTAATGTGACGCAATGAAAAAAGAAAAGAAAAGATTACACCACAAAAAATCAAAGGCATAACATACTGTTAAATATTATGTTATGCATTTCGTATGAGATCGGAATTGGAGGAGGAATCTAAAAGACAGGGAGATGGACAAAGGAAGTCACAACACAAACGCTACTGGGACCGGGTCTTCATCATACCAGCAAGTGTGTACAACCAAACGTGTACATCGTCCTTAGGACCCCAGCCAGCCAGTCGGGATGCACCAACCGACGCCAGCTTCGAAGTGAGGGTTTTCAGTTCTCTCGACCAAGTCATCGCTTGGCCACCTCTCCTCCTCTTACAACCGCACTCCCGGAGCGCAAAGAATGCACGTCGCGGGAGTCGGTGTGCTGGCATGCGCAACAAGTGGCCTAGCCATCGGAGCCTGGTGCGTGAAATGACGGTGCTGAGCGGTTCACTCGCCCTTGCACCAAATACGCGATGCCAAATACTTTGCTCACGCAGTCCTCCCACCAGACATGAGCTAAACTGCGAAGATAACGATGATCCAATATGACAAGCCCGTTTATGTCTGTCTACCTGATGGGCCAGGTTTCACAACCATATAGGAGAGCTGAATGGACGGCTCCGTTATAAACTCTACCCTTCAGGGCGAGAGTAATGTCGCGTCTGTGCCACAGGTGGCGGAGATTGGCAAAAGCACCTCGAGCTTTTGCTATACGGTTCGTAACCTCATCTTCAATCCCACGGGTGCTAATATAGCTGCCCAGATACTTGAATTCCTTAACGACTTCTAGCAGATCACCACCAAGCGTTAGCGCAGGGTTGGGTCCCTGCCAATCTTGGAGAAGTACTTTGCATTTCGATGGAGCAAAGCAAAGCCCAAAACGATTGACAGCCAGTGCTAACCGGTCCAGTGTAGTGTAGTGTTGAGCAAAGAATTGTTAGAGAAGGAAAAAGAACTAGCACTAGCAAAAACGAAGTCGGAGGAGGTATTGCTTCAAGTGCAATCGCAAACAACGGCGACACAAAAAGTCAAGGCAAAGGTACAGTTTGTGTAGGACAAGGCACAGAGACTTGTTGATGCCATCAGCGTTGACAAAGCGAATGCAGAGGGGAAATTAGAGGCTGCAAAACCCGCTTTGATGGAAGCTGAGGCTGCTCTGGAAACGATTAAGCCATCACATATTTCAACAGGCAAGCATCATGAAGTAACTTAGATTAATGTGAGGCGTGCTAACGACCAATATTTTAATTTAAATTTTCAGAAATATGAGACGAATCAGGTTGTTGGCTAGCCACCTCATACGTTTACCGTCTGATCTTGTTGTACAAACTTGCAGGCTTAGGAGAGAAAATACTGACATCTGGAGTTGTTCACGTGGCAATTTTTGCTTCGGACCTTCATCTTGGGGCTAAGTACTCAAGCACGTCAACGACCGATCTCAACCACGCTTTTTTGTACATTGAACTATGGTTTGTCACAGGTAAAATCCAGGCGCTTGACAAGTCCCGTAGGATGGCTGGGGTGAAAGTCATGCGAATTGACAGGTTACTTGTTGCACGATTGTGGATGGATACAGTGCCGCCTCACCAGTTAGATATCTATTTACGTGTCCGTTAAGCACTTAACTCGCGCGATCCCCTAAGTGGGAGAGCTAAAACGCCGTTCACCGCATGTGTAGCCCACTCGTGTTGTGGCAAAATGCTCAGATTTTGGGAATCGTGTGTGTGCCTTACTTATCTTCATGGCACTCCCTTACCAAAGTTACTAAAGTTGGTAGTTAGAACATAATAGCATGAAACGAGTTTGCAAGTACACCGGTTAGTTCACTATGGGTGTGGGTTATCTCACAAGCCAACCCACATATTTAGTCCAATCAGCTGTGCTGATTTGGCTGTGATTCAGAATACAGCTTTATGAAACTCCTCGTGCACACGACTAGATGAAAACGAGAGTCATTCAGACCATTCAACGCTAATGGATGGACGTGCATGTACTGCGTCGAGTCGCCGCTCGTAGTCCATTAAACAGAACCGCTGTTTTGACCAATGCGTGTTTGTTCGCAAAATATCGTCTCTGATTGGAGCCATGAGGCTCCTCATGTGTTTTATTCCGCTACTACAGGATAGTGGACTTCAGTTCCTTCAAGATCTATCACTTCACAGATGTCGACTACATGTTTCTACTGAATTATCTAGGGATATAAACTTTTTGCAAAAAATTAATCAGCACTGAGCAGCAGGCAATGGTAGTTGGTTTTGTTTCCAACCAGCGTACTATTTGTGAGATGGTGGGAACTCAGTTGTGCAGAACCATTAGTTCAGACGCAACGGTTTTATACGACATAGTAACTAAACAGGATGTTACAAGGTATGGGGCTGCTCCACTGCAGATTAATCTTTTTTAACCTTATGTTGACTATCAGCGATAAAACTTTTTTCGAAAAGAGAACCTATTGGGTTGCGCACGAAAGTAACAGCAACCCAAACCCTCTGATCTCACACACGATACACCTTAGCCAGAGGTGGGAAACAGCTTAGCTACGGTGCCGCAATACATAAAAGCAAAAAGGGAATAAAATGCAACAAGTGCAAGCCAGCTGAGCTACCGGTAACGAATGGGCATCGTTCCGGTAAGCTACCAGCCGGCTACTATGCATCAAAAAAGTAATTTCTTATGCAAAGTTATAAAACGCTAAATTATGAGATCATGGTTAGAGGGGGTAGCTAAGAGGGATGCATAGGACAAAGAACTCACAGCACGAACGCCACTGAGGTCGGCTCCTAGCCATATCAACAAGTGCATCCATGCAAACGTGTCCATCGTCTTTCGGACCCCAACCAGGGTGCCGAGACGCTTCAACTAAGGCCAGCTTCGAACTGAGGGCCTTCACTCCTCTCGACCAAGTCATGGCTTGGCCTCTCCTCCTCCTCTTCCAACCGCACGCCCGGTGCGCAAACAACGCACTTCGTGGGAGTCGGTGTGCTAGTGTGTGCAACACGCGGCCGAGCCGTCGGAGCCTGGTGCGCGATATAATGATGTTGAGCGGTTAACGCGCTCTTCCTGAACCAATACACGAAGCCGAACAGGCTCATTGCTCACGCGGCGCTCCTACCAGACATGAACTAAGCTGCAAAGACAGCGATGATCGAAAGTGACTAGCCTCTTTATGTCTGTCGACCTGATGGTTCAAGTTTCACAAGCGCATAAGTTGTAAATACGGCTGCATTAGAAACACTGCCCTTCAGGACGAGAGTGATGTCGCGTCTGTGTCACAGGTGGCGGAGATTGGCAAAAGCCCCTTGAGCTCTTGCTATACGATTCTTAACCTAATCAGCGATCTTATGGGCGCTAAAATAGCCACCCAGGTACCTGAATTCCTAATCGAAATCAAGCTGGTCACCAACAAGGGTCAGTGCAGAGGTGGGTTCCTGCTAATCTTGCAGAAGTACTTTGTATTTCGATGGAGCAAAGCATAACCCAAAACAATTAAGAGTCAGTGCTGCTTGGCACATTCGTGAGCTATCACAGATTTGGGCACTATCGTCCGCATACTCCAAGTCAAGAGGTCGCTCACCAGGAAGTAGCTTCTAGATCGTGTTCAGCGAACGCAGGTTTCATGACTTCCACAATGGCGAAGTTAGAAAAAGGTGACAATGGGCAACCCTGTCTCACACAGCTGGAGATACTGAAGGGCGGCGACAATTTGCCGCAAACCCTCACTCTGCCCGAAATATGCGCGTACAGAAGTCTGATAAAATTTACGTATTTTAGAATAAAACCATTCCGGAGCAGACCGTTACAAAAAGCACATCGACCAACTCAATGTCCTAAGAAGAAAGCGATAAGTCAGATTGGTTAAACTGTCTTGCAAAGTGTTCGGTCCAACGCTCCAAGATTTTTGACATGC